AAACTGTTTTCAAGTGCTTGGCTTTTGTTTTTGTTTTGTTCAGTAAGAAATGCAGTGAATGTTTCTTTATGGCTACTGGATAATTTCGGGTGGCTGAATTTCGTTGAATGATATTTATGCATAGAAGTTTTCTTTAAACTGGCTGTTAAAATTTTAGCTCCTCCTCCCAAAAAGTGATAGTAATCCACAACAAGGAAATTAGTATTTCATTTCAACTACACATATGTTTGAAGCAATTCCATTAATACTAATAGCTACAATTTATTAAGCTTGTATAATGCCCTGAGTCTTAGGCTTCTGGGCAGTTTCAAAATCCCTTCATGTGTTAAGGGATTTAGACAAAGCCAATTTAAAAAAAAAGGTCACCAATTTCAAGGAACCTGGAGGATATAAGTCGTGCATTGAATATGACCCTTTTTATTGCCAGAAACATTCAAACTAACTGAAAATAGACAAAACAAAAAGATGTTCTGACTTATTTTAATTTATGACACGACAGTTGGTCACAACAGCCACTTGAACAAAATAAAATGAAATGATGTTAGAGGAGTTATACTAAACAACTGTGACTCACTTGGTCATCTTTTCAGAGATATTTCCTTACCCTCAAGGCCTTTAACAATGAACGAGCTTCTAATATACTGCCTTCATTGGAAAAGGGAGAGAACAAGATATCCAGAGATGTATCTGCCATGAAAATAGCCATGGTGAACTCTATATAGCATAATCAAACAAGAAGAGATGACCGCCGGGAATTTTTTATGACATTTTGTATTATGTCATAAAATGTTTTATGATAATTTTTATGTTTCAAAATATTTATAGAATTTGTCAAATTTCATTTCTGTGGGAGTCACATATTTTGGATTTTGGACATGTTCTGTAAGTTAGCCCATTTGGGTTTGGGCTACATCCAAACATGAGAGTGTATAGATTATGACTGGAAAACCTATGGTGTTTTAGCATAGAGGCTAGACAAATATCAGAAGACTTCTACTTTACTGACTTAGACTTGTGCTTTGACCGTACCTTTGGAGAACATGGGATGGAGGTGGTGTGACCATTCTGATCTTCCTGGGCCTCTCTGGCTATTCAATACCATTGCCCACAGTCACCTTCTGGACTGGCTTTGAGGCTTAGGAATGAGAGGCACTGTGTTGTAGTGGTTCTCCTTCTTCTTCCATGGCCTGTTCCATTCAGTGTTGGTAGAAATTGAAAAGTTAAGCAATGTGGGGTCCCAGTGCTTGAGCTTTCACCATTCCCTTTTAACAGCTACATGAAGCTGCTAGGTCTTTTGGCATTTGTTGGTATGGAATTTAGTATCATCAGTATGCTAACAATACCTAATTATATATCTCTGGATGGGGAGGAACTTTCAACTCAATCCTGGCAAGATGAGTGGCTATGGGTTCCCCTCCAGGCCTAAATGATACTTCATCTTTGACTCTGGATGGAATGGCACTCCACCAAAACTGAGCTGGAAGGGACTTTTGTACAGATTTGTCTAGTTGCCAATTGTTCCCTTTCCTCACCTTGCTCACGGTCACTCGTGCCTTGGTCACTGCCTGTTTGGATTATTACAATGTACTTTAAATGAATCTTTCCCCAAAGTCCACCAGGAAACTTCAACTGGTTCAGAATGCAGAGCATGCGCAGTAATTGGGTCCCTAGGTTTTCTCATGTAACACCTCTGTTGTGTGAACTGGTGGTCATCACAATTAGCCCAGGTCCAGGTTATCTGTGGGACTGCTTTTCCCTAACATTTACTCATAGCAATAGCAATATCACTTAGACTTATATACTGTTTCATTGTGCTTTACAGCCCTCTCTAAGTAGTTTACAGAATCAGCATATTGCCCCCAACAATCTGGGTCCTCATTTTACCGACCTGAGAAGGATGGAAGGCCGAGTCAACCTTGAGCCTGGTGACATTTGAACTGCCAAATTGCAGGCAGCTGGCAGGCAGCAGAAGTAGCTTGCAGTACTGCACTCTAACCACTATGCCACCATGACTCATCCTATTAGGTCAGATAGTGTGGCACGCTCCTAATTCTTCCTCTAAAATATTGCCATCTGATGAGAAAGCGTGATTGACCATATAACAGAAAAACAGAATTTAAATAAGAGAAGTAACATTGTTTATAATAATAAATAATAATTAGCCTCAAAAGCATTATTTTCCTATTCTCTAAAAACTTTTGGAAATAAATTACTCTTGATTAATGTAAATCATGTAAAATAATCTGAAAACATGGACATGTCAATTCTCATTCTTAATTCCAAATAAGTCATGAATATATTAAAAAGGTACTATAAGATTCCTGCAGGTCAAGCTACACGTTCATTAAAAACACCAATAACTGCAATATTTCTTTTTCTCTTTCTTACTTATGTGTCCTACATAAGGTATCCTAACTGATATTTTAGTAAGGGTTGGTTAAAACAGTTTATAATATAAACTGATCTGGCAGTTTACATTTTTCTCCACTGTGAAAATGTTATTTTTTTGTATTATATGAGATCACTCAAATTCTTATTCTATGATAGCTAAGTGAAATTTAATTGGATAGTAATCATTTGTTTAACTATGCTTTAGTAAATAAATCATATTAAACTGGGTTTATACAATGCATTGAAGCATAAACTACAGTTTTAAAACTAGAGTATGCTAATGCAAAAGCAAACAAATGAAATGATTCCCTATGTATTGCTTGAATCAAGACATTCTAATGAACAGATAAATGGAAGAATCTAGTTTTAAAAATGTAAACTTGAGTACTACAATAGTAGTTCAATTTTTTTTAAAATTTCATTGAATAATGAAATAATGGACCAATATCTGATATCCAGTGGTGAAATGCACTTACCTTTGCTACCGGTTTGGAAATGTGACGTGTGTACTCTCGCTACGCTTGTGCGCGCCCCTTCTGCGCATGCGCAGAGGGTCAAAAATGGGATGTAATGACATCCTGGCGGGTGGGCGGAGCCTCCTGCCGCCAGCCCTACTGGTTCGTGCGAGCCGGATAGATCCGGCTGGATTTCACCACTGATGATATCCCTATGATTCTTCTAGAAAGATTTCAGACATGACACAGCTATCATGCATTGGTATAAATATGATAGTGAATTGCATTGATATTAACAGTTTTGGTGACATGCAAGCACTTGAGAAATACAATTGTTTTGCTAGAAGAAGCTTTCATTATATTCAATATATTATACAATCCTTGTGCTAAGTAGTTCTGAATGAAAAGAATGAAATAAAAAGAATGAAATAAAACATATAATAATGTCCAATAGCTGATGATTTCTGAGAAGCACACTAAGGCTGTTAAGGAAGTGGGAAGGGGGTTAAATTTTCAATAGTTTAAGCAAAACATTCTCCCTTCCCCCCTCATTAAATAGGAACTGTCACTTTGAAGAGGGAAAGTACAGTGTTTGCAAGCGTTGGCGGTGGGGCGAGGAGGGCAGGAATTGCCAAGTGTGCATGCCGTGCTGAAACTAGTTGAAATGGAGTTGGAGATGTAGGAGTTGCGATTGTTCTCCAACATTTTTATCTCAGAACAGCCACAAAATTTCTCAACATTAGAATAACTGAAACAAAACAACCAGGGAAGCAGATAATTAAAACAGATGAGTTCTAACAGGATTTATTTACTAGATTTTTATTCTGCCTTTAAACTTTATAAGTAATTCAGGGTAGTAAGCATACATAATATTCCTTCCTATTATCCCAACAACAACAATCCTGGTTGGGTCCAAAAGTCACCTAGACGACTTTCATGTCTTAAAGCGGAACTAGAATTCACAGTGGCTTGGTTTCTTCAGCACTACACCACTAGCTCTTGGGTAGGAGGAAGACAAATCAAGAAAGCTGTCCAGTGACTCCACCATTCAGTGACAGTGTTGCCTAGTTCCCATGATGAAAGTGAATGGGGGTGTGTAGAAAATTCTGAGAAACGAACAAGATCATAAATATCCAGAGGGTACAGGCAGCCATTTCCTAAGAAAAGGGAGTCTTTAGAGACGGATTGTTGCGATTAAAGGCTATGGGATAATTTGTTATTTCCCGCTACAAGTTTTAAGTCCCTTAAAATCCACGCAGTCCGTCCAGTACAATTGCAGTGCCAGCCTTTCTGCAGCCCGGGCAGTTGGTTATATAATTTTTTTGAAAGGATTTACAATAAGATCGTATGACATTCCAAAGCGGTTGTTATACGTACGGGATGTATACCGTACATTGACATAGCGAAAAGAATTGTGTGTAGCACATTGACAAAAGAGCCTTGGTAGTACAGGGGTTTAAGGCACCCTGTTATTAAGCTGGTTATTAAGACCAGCTGCCTGCAATTACTGCAGGTTCGAATCTCACCAGGCTCAAGGTCAACTCAGCCTTCCATCCTTTCTAAGGTAGGTAAATTGAGGACCCAGTTGTGGGGGCAATAAGCTGACTTTGTATAAATATACAAAAGGATGAAGGCTATTGCTGAGCACATTGTAAGCCGCCCTGAGTCTTCGGAGAAGGGCGGCATATAAATCAAATTAAAATAAAAAAAATAAAAAAAATGGTCTTTGCAATCGGCGCAGAATACGTAGGTGTGATTTAGCAACGGAGCCTAGATGACATAGAATGTCTTCAGCATAATCAGGAGGCGATACAGTATACAGTAAGATGTACATGTAATACAGAATGCGGGCGGCGCTCTGCTCAAGAAACGGAATTGTGGCATTAGGGGCCTAGTGAAAAAAAAGAAGAAGCACGGATTGAAAAGTAAGGAATGGATCTATATTTATGCTCCATTCAAAAGGCATGACTTAGCTAGGAAGGGGGAGGCGGAACTCTACATAACGAAGGGGCGTGCACTGGGCGGGACAAGCTTTGCGAATGGACGATGGGCTCTCTAATAGGCGTGGCTTCCGGGTCCCCTGTAAACAGGGGGCGTGGCCGCACTGTGATTGGCTGATGCTACTCTGGCGGAAACGGCAGTGGCCGCGGGCCGGCGTCAGGTGATCCGAACTGAGCGGCGTTGAGTCTGAGACCGCGGGGCCGTGGTTTATGCGTGCAAGCGCCCATCCGGGGTTAGATCAGCGCCTCGGACCGGCTCGGCCTATGGATGAAACGAGCCCGCTGGTATCTCCAGAGCGCGGTCCGGCCCCGGGGTATGGGCTGCCTGGGGGTGCCGTGCGCTCCCCGCCCTGCCCCGCTGCCCCTGCTACTCCCGCTGGACCGTGTCCCTGTCCTTCCCCACCGGGATCCCCCGCAGGTGGCCGCGACCGGGAGCGCCAGCCACTGTTGGATCGGGCTGGTGGGTCGGAGCGTGGAGCCACGCGGGGGACTGTAGCAACAGCCGGGGCGACCCAGACTCAGGCTCAAGTGGGGGTCGGAGTAGGGATCGCCGCGGGTCGAGGTGAACGGGAGCACCGGAATGAATTTCCCGATGACCCAGAATTCGCCGAGGTGGTGCGACTGGCAGAGCTGGCGAGCGAACGCGGAATCTACCCTGAGCGCATCTACCAAGGTTCTAGCGGCAGCTATTTCGTCAAGGATCCGCAGGGGGTGAGAGATCGGGGCTCGGGAAAAGTATTCAGATCACGGGACAAGGGGAGAAAGAACAGGACGGGGTTGGTTGAAATTTTAAAATAACTGGAGGGCAGGAGAGAGGATGCAAGGGTTGCGGGATATTTGTAGTTGCTACCTTTCTCAGTCCCTTGCGCCCCCCTCCCCAATGCCGTATTGACTTTTGCTCACTTTTTTCTTCTAAGCTACGTCTTCAGAATGAGATATAATAATACTGGAATTGCTTCTTCTGATGCATAAAAAAAATGACACACCATATGCCTCTGTCCTTATGGAAGATTTTATTGAATTAATGAGACCATATTGAGGAACATAGATAATGATGTTTAGTGAAACAACGTTGTTGCATAGTGACATAGTTTCTGTTTGGCCCAGAAATTTTGTGAATTATGCTGAGGTATCAATGAATTTACAATCAATAATATTAAATGTTTGGTGATGTAAATTTTTGGTTATCAGGGTGAAATGTCTTTTGAACAGTTCTGAGCCCTATGTTAACAATTTAGAAATTATATTTACCATTGATATATACTTTCTCCCTCATCTTTAAAAGTTTAGTTTACCTTATCATAGTGTTGACAATTCCTAGTTTTTATTGCATAAACACCACTGTAGTTCCTATCACCTTTATTCAATATATATTACACACATTTTATAATGTAATAAAACAATTAACTTACGGGAAAGGATATTTTGATGCTAATGTATATTTTTGGTTTACATGATCAATTAAGAGTTGGAAGGAACCTTGGGGGTCTTTTAATCCAACCCCTTGCTCAGGCAGGAAAACCATTTCAGACAAATACCATTTGTATACCATTTCAGACAAATGGTTGGCCAGTGTCTTCTTAAAAACTTCCAGTGTTGGAGCATTCACAACTTCTGGAGGCAAGTCATTCCACTGATTAATTGTTCTAACTGTCAGGAAATTTCTCCTTAGTTCTAGGTTGCTTCTCTCCTTGATTAATTTCCACCCATTGCTTCTTGTCCTACCCTTAGGTGCTTTGGAGAATAGCTTGACTCCCTCTTCTTTGTGGCAACCCCTGAGATATTGGAACACTGCTATCATGTCACCCCTAGTCCTTCTTTTCATCAGACTAGACATACCCAGTTCCAGCAACCGTTCTTTATATGTTTTAGCCTCCAGTCCCCTAATCGTCTTTGTTGCTCTTCTTTGCACTCTTTCTAGAGTCTCAACAAATGTTTTACATTGTGGCAATCAAAACTGGATGCAGTATTCCGAGTGTGGTCTTATCGAGGCATTATAAAGTGGTATTATTTAATTTCTTATACTTAAGTCTTTATGTTGGATCAGAAGTGGAAGCTTTCTAATAAGTCCTGTAGTGCAGTCTTATTCAAGTAATACTGCTGCTAGCTTTTGGTTCTATTTTACAAGTTACACATGAAGATGATCAATTTGAATGTGAGTCAGTCAGTAGGAATACAGTCCAGATACATTCCTTTGAATTATTTTAGATTCTTATAAATCTGATGGCTGCCTTATAGCAAAACATTGCTGTGGAGGAAAATAACTGCTAGCCCTGAGAACAACTCCTTCTTTCCTAAGTTTTCTGATCTTTTGAACAAAGTAAATCAAATCTTCAAAATTTGATTTGGGTTAATTCTGCATACAGTATTGAAAATAATCTCTGCCCTTCATACTTTGGGCAATACAGAGTACATTTGGAAAAGAAAGCTGAAAGAATCAGACAAATTTGATTTGTAGAAAAACTTTTATGAATTGCTCATTGTTCTCCTTTTCAGCTTTAAACTGAAGCAGGTTACTATTTGCCCTTTGCTTTCCAAACAACTTTTGCCATTGTTTACTCAACCAGCTTTCAAAAACCAATGCAGCTTATTCTTGTTTTTTTTCCCATTGGTCATTGATGGCAATTAGACTACAATCTTTTTTTTCCCTTTTGAAACCCAGCTTTTTAGAAAAGGGGTTAAAATTCTATGACACATTGATCCTTTTGTAGCTATTTTAGAGTGTAAGCTTGTTTGGAGGCAGGCAGCTGGACAATGATACATAGGTTCTATCAAAAGCATTGGAGAAGACAATAAGCATATTTTTTGTTATTTTTACTGCTATGAGAGTTCTTGGCAGGAGGATAATTCCCCAAGGTGTCACTGGAATTGGCATCACTCAAAGTTTAAAATCGATTTGGGTAAAGATTACATGAAGAGAAGATTTGTCTCCATTTGTGCTTCTGTATTTGCAACTGAAAGAGGTTTTAAATTCTCTTGCTCTCCAATTCTCAGGTTGAAGCTTGCATAGGGTAGTTTTTTTAGTTTAGAACATCTTTGAGGCTTTGGTGGTGGTTGCTGCTTCTGTTTGCATTACTGTTTCTCCACCTTTAGGAAACTGGACGTTTCAGTCTATGGTTCAGTTTTACATGCTGTATCATAATGTATTGAAATAAGAGGAACAATTTATCACATGGAGAATGGGATGACGAGTTTCCCCATGTTTGTATAGAGCTGATTGTGTTTGTAGCCTGATGGTTCTCCTTGTGACCTATTATATCTAACTAAATTAATTTGGCTCCTTTATTCTGCATTCCCAACATGCATGAAATCATATAGCATTACAAATCTTTCCATTGCTAGGAATCCAGGCTCTTCTTTTCTGCTTAAATTAATTTCCTTTCTTGTTGGATTTGTGAGATGCAGCTGAGATGAATCAAACTTTTGTGTTGATTCACTATATATCACTATAAAAGAATTAAGTCTTGGAATTTAGGACTTGGTATCTGGGTTATCTGCTCCCAGTTAGCCTTGCAAGATTAGGTCAGTGAAAACTGTAAGATTTTGCTGTGGAATTTGGTTATGTTTGCTGCATGTGTGGGGCTACAGCTATGTTGTTGTATTTATTTACTTATTTATTAGTTGTGTGTTCTATCTTTCCCCCCCAAATATTAGAATGTCATATCTATTATTCTCTTTTCCTCTTTTATCTTCACAATGAAAAGTCTGTGTGTTTAGTTGGATTGACCTAATTATTGCCCCAAAGGGGCAATAATTTCTATTGCAAAGATTTCTATGTTTGAATGTTTTTAATCCTAAACTATTATTATATTTTTGTCCCACCTTATATATATTTTACTCAAGGCAGTGAACATGCCTAATACTCCTGCCTCCTATTTACCCATAACAAAAAAAATCTGTGCAGTGGGTTGTGCTGAGAAAGCGAGACTGGCCTAAAGTCATCCAGCTGGCTTTCATGCCTAAGGAGGATCTGAACTCAGAGTCTTCTAGGCCACAACTTTAACCTCTACACCAAACTGGTTCTCCCATCTGGCTTAGGGCAACTTCCAAATCTGGTGCCCTCAAATATGCTGAACTACAGCTACCACAATCTCCACAGAATGATCAGTAAATTATGCTGACTGGAAGAAATGGGACTTGTACAGCAGTTCAGTATATCTGATCATTGCTAAATTGGGAAAGATTGGTTTAGGAATATGCTTTTCTACTTGATTAGAAGAAGTGATTTAGCTAGTACAGTATCTAACACTGAACTGACAATATGGAAAGTCTAGTTTTATCAGAAATGCTTCTGCTAATAAGTTGTATTTCAGAGGCAGTCAGATCAGATAGTGCAAGGAAAGGACTACTTTTGGTAAATATTTTCAGAATATTCCACCTGAGTATGCTGAATCTTCAATGTATGGTTTCAGAATATGGTTCTTGGCAACCTATTTGAATTTTCTATGTAAAAATATTCCTTAAAGAGATTTTGTGATAGTAATGATGTTCCCAACTTCAATTTTTTGCTCTCGTTTTGATAAAAACATTGATTTATCTGATGGACAAAATGTGTTGTGCTAACATTTATTATTACTAGTATATATAAGTCAGGTAAATCAGACAGCCTATCCTTTATTTTCTCAATTTTATTTGTAAATGGTTTCTACTGTTTCACAGAAATGGGAATAAAAAGGCTGAAGGTAGAGCTTCAGGCTTAAAGCCTTAATCACTATGCTATATCCAAGGTTTAGCAAAATTATCTCTGCATTTTTCAGGGGTTCAACAAATCATGAGACCCAGTGAACTTTTTATAAAACAGAAGTATTTTGTGAAAATAAAATCAGTTGCTATTTAAGTCTAGATTCCCCCTGTCCCTGGCAAGCACACTCAAGACTGCTTTTTTTTATATTAGCATTCTAGAAGACTTCATAAATTTGGGAAGAGACATGAGAGGAGGGATGACTAAATTGGTTTTATCCTGATCTATGTTCATCTACTGGAGTTACTGGTCTACTACTTCACAGAGTTAAAGAGCAGGAGGGAGTGGAAATCCCTTGACTAAAGATTGCTTTGTTGTTTTTAATGCCTTGCTTCTTTTGTAGTAAATAGGAAAGCAGGCAGGCTGTCGCCCCATATTCACTAAAAAAAAAAATCAGATGTTGTAGTTTTAGTTTGTGTTGTATTCTCACATCTCAGATCTGTAGTCTTCCTATGTGCAGTTGCATTCCCTGGATCACATAGGAAAGTCAAATTATCCAAACTTCTTTCTCATTGAAATACACTGAAATAGAAAATGAAATACACTGCCCTTTTAAAACAAAAGCAGAAGTTGGAAACCAAGGCTGAGTGAAACAAGGGATCCTCCAATTCTGGAGCAGAATATATTGACCAGAATTCTGAAATATCAGCCAGGAGTCGAGGAAGAATATATTGTTTCTGTAAAAAGAGCTATCTTTGAAAGATAGATTTAAAAATCATTAGTTAGGAATATGTATTGCACAAGATTGTTTTAAATCTGGTTATGTGTGTTTATGCTTGATTTTTGTTTTTTCCTCTGGTGACTATTTTCTCTATACAGCCTCTCAACGTTTTAGACAATTTTTTATGTCAAGTTGTTTAGTAGATGAGATCAATACTGTCTTGTGATGTGCTCAGAGCCCTATATTATTATCCTGTGTATTTTTCTATGGGAGGTTCTTTTCAGATTTTTTCCCCTTTATTTTGGTGACTGTGTCTTTTACTGGAGTCATGGTTTTCAACAGCCTGTGCTTTAATCTTGTGATTTTATTTATGCTTAAACCATACTCAACATCACATGTTATTTAACCTCCATATTCTACTTAAAGCCTTTGCCTCTTAAAAAACCCTTATCTCCTACAAAGAAAGAGGGAAAGAGGAATTAAATTCCTTAGTCACACATCTTGGAGCTACAGGGTTATCACCAAGCTGGGATGATTAATTGCCTTTGCTTTATCCAGCCTATATTAGCAATATCCACTCTTCTGTCTCTTTCAGAAAATCATTGGTGTGTTCAAACCGAAGAATGAAGAACCCTATGGGCATCTGAACCCAAAGTGGACAAAATGGCTGCAAAAACTTTGCTGTCCCTGCTGTTTTGGAAGAGATTGTTTAGTTCTCAACCAAGGATATCTGTCTGAAGCTGGTGCAAGCCTTGTTGACCAAAAGCTGGAATTGAACATTGTACCTCGCACAATGGTGAGCCCATTCATAGGAGAGACATAATCAAATGGGATTAAACTGTGGATCATGAGGCTTGGAATAGGACCATATTTCCCTACATGCCAGGTACAGAAAACCCCAGGGGCTTTTGGATTGCATTCAACTTCAGCTCCTACTTTGCTTGCCTATTGGCCCTGTGACTCAGACTTATGGAAGTTGCAATTTGAAAATACCTGAAAGATTGATTTCCCATTACTGCATTTGAGATCACCAGTATGTCACATCTTCCAACAATGACATTCTTCCCCTCGCTCTCCTTTTACATTTCATGTCACTTATTCCTAGTCCAGTGAATATTTATGAATCTCCATTATATTTGGTTAGAAAAACGGGTACTTTTGAAAAAGTACCTGTTCTTTTAAAAAAAGGCACTGCAGACAGGAAATAATTGGTAGTAACGCGAGAATAATTGTAGTTACGTTTTTTTAAAAAAGAAAAATAGATTTGATCTTACTTTGAGAGTTAGGCACATGTAACAATTGGGAAAGTAGGGCTTGAGTCCTTGCCTGAAATCTCAAACAGGCCACTCCTTAGTTCACACAAAATAAAGTGAGGGAGGGGAGAAGCGCGTTCAGACTTTTAAGATTTAGGCTCATATGGCATTGGTTTCTTGATCTGGTCTATCTTTCAGAGCTGGCATATGTGTTATAGTATGCACACTTGACACCAATCTCTAATTTCTCATTATTCTCCATTATTGTCATGATTTGTTTTTCAAGCCATTTAAATTCTACATTCAGTCAGATGATTAGAACTTGTTCTAGACAGACAGGCCTGGATATGCTTAGATTTATGCAGTTATGACTTTATTCTGTAAATGGGGATGGCTGGATTGCTAGTATAGACGAGACAGAAACTGATTATGAACTTATAATTTCTTCAAGGTGGTGTACTTGGCCAGTGAAACATTTAACTACAGTGCCATTGACAGAGTGAAGTCCCGGGGCAAGCGTCTGGCCTTGGAAAAAGTGCCAAAGGTTGGGCAGAGGTTTCATCGAATTGGTCTTCCACCAAAGGTAGGGGATATTGATAAAGAGTAAGGCATTCAGTATAGTTCTTTGGTATGTTGCTCTTGTTAAGGTATTTGCTTCTTCTTCTCAGGTGGGTTCATTCCAGCTTTTTGTGGAAGGCTATAAGGATGCAGATTACTGGTTGCGGCGCTTTGAGTCTGAGCCTCTTCCAGAAAAGAGTAACCATCAATTGTTGCTACAGTTTGAGAGATTGGTGGTGCTGGACTATATTATACGCAATACTGGTAGGTTCTGCCTTTTCTTTGCTCTTGACATGGAATGCTGATTGAGGTTATTCATATTGAAAATGCTTGTTTAGCTTCTCCAGTATGCCTACTTAATTTTTTGTCAAATCAAGGCATTGTTCCATATGTCTCAATATTGCTGAAATGAATTAGCTACAGCTTCCCAGAATTTCAAACAGGACTCTTTTCCAGCCATTTCTGAAGGTCATAAGGTTTGGCTGGAAAGTATAGGACCTCCTTCCTACTTCATATTCCAGTCATGCCATATTCCAGTAATTTTTTCTTCCCATAATATTGGGATGTGAGGTTTGTTATGTGTGGTGAGATACTTCTCTGTTTTCCATCTGTGCATTTCGATTTCTTTACAGATAGGGGTAATGACAACTGGCTGATCAAGTGTGATTGCCCCCTGGACAGTACAAGTATGCAGGTGAGTAGGGCCCAGTGGGGCTCTGACAACTCCATATGAGTATATGATACAGAAAATAAGGGGCTCTCAGAGACTTGCATATAATGTCCTGCATGGAACAGATCTAGGGAAGTGGCTCAAACACTAGAGATCCAGATTAATCATATATACTAGAGGTGTACATATGATAAAAATACTTAGATATGTCATGTGAACTGTATAGAAATATTAGAGTTAGCTTAAAGTATATGGAATAGATGTAGAGATCTAGGATTTGCTAGACCCTTCTTAGGCAATTTCTTTGTGGCATCTTGGTTTTATAGGGGGCAACATATGAAAGTGCATTAATAATGTCTGTAACACCATGGAGTCCAAACATAGCAGTACCTGGTTTCCTTTTGCACCTTTGCAGAGGGGATGTAAAACAGAGGTAGGTTAAACTATGTTGACATGGTTTAAGAGCTATGGCGGTGCAGTGGTTAGAATGCAGTACTGCAGGCTACTTCTGCTGACTGCCAGTAGTTTGGCAGTTCAGTTTTCACCAGCTCAAGATTGACTGAACCATCCACCCTTCTGAGGTCAGTAAAATGTGGACCCAGATTGTTGGGGACAATATGCCGACTCTGTAAATTGCTTAGAGAGGGCTTAGAGAGTACTGTGAAGCGGTATATAAGTCTTAAGTGCTATTGCTATTGCTATGGTCAGCATTCCATTGGGTTGGCTTTGGGGCAATGAGTCTTCTGGAATTATACATTATCTCTTCAACTAATGGGCAATGATTGCTGGGATTTGTATCATTTCCTGATGCAACATTTTCCGTTTCCTTGTAGGACTCAGAATGGGTTGTAGTCAAGGAGCCTATAATTAAACTGGCAGCCATTGACAATGGTTTGGCTTTCCCTCTTAAGCATCCAGACTCTTGGAGAGCATGTAAGTACTCCAAATAAGAGAAGCCATATGAGTTCATCGTATTTTTTTTCTCAGTATGGATGTTTGTGAAGGGCTAATTTCTTGATGTTCCTTTAATAAATCCAGGGTGTTAAGTCCTGAAGTATTTCCTTTGTATTTGAATCTATGCTACCCTTATTGCTAAGTCTGGCTTTACGAGCCTAATTTTTGCCTTCTGTTTGTTCTTTCTTCACAAGATCCTTTCTATTGGGCATGGCTGCCACAGGCGAAAGTGCCATTTTCTCAAGAGATCAAGGATCTTATCCTGCCAAAGATTTCAGACCCTAATTTTGTCAAGGATTTAGAAGAAGATCTCTATGAACTCTTCAAGGTAACCACAAGAACAAGTTAATATCGGAATATTAGGTACCCTTAGGAGCAGTGATGTAGATGTCATACCCATCCTAATTAGATATACTATTTCTTTTATAGAAAGATCCAGGTTTTGACCGAGGCCAATTTCATAAGCAGATTGCAGTAATGCGTGGTCAGGTATGTACTTCGTCCCACTGGAGAGATGGAACCTGTGTTGGGCATTGGGCAATTTTTACCATTTATACATTAGTTTAGTATTCAGTTGTCTTTCTTCTATTCCTAGATCCTAAACTTGATGCAAGCCCTGAAGGATGGGAAGAGCCCTCTTAACTTGGTCCAGATGCCTCCTGTTATTGTAGAGACTGCTCGCTCCCATCAACGCTCTGCCAGTGAATCATATACACAAAGCTTCCAGAGCCGCAGGCCCTTCTTTACCTGGTGGTAGCAGTTGAACTTTAGAGGGGGCATCATTTGAGAGCAAGCAATCAACCCTCCAGACTGAGGTTGTCTGCTGTAGATGGTCGGGAATTTAAGCAGGGTCAGTCTCAACTCTGCACGTTCCCTGTGAGAAACAAGGGATGTTCATTGGTCTGATTGCTGCTGCCTTCTCTTTGGGCTGGACAGGTCCTATCATCAGCCCAAGCATGACAGCATTTCCTAGCGGGAGCCTGCATGCCATGCCCTTTTGTTTCAAGATATCCTTCTAATGTTCATTTGGATGGACATCTCATAAGGTCTCCTACAAGGAAGGGCTGATGGTGAGGGGATAATCCAAATTGGATGGAAGCACTTCACTGTCTATAACTGCCAGCCTTGTTGTTCCTTCCTTCCTTGTTGCACATTTGTTATTCCTGTTGAAAGCAGGTTTTCCTGCCCCACTGGATTTGCTGTTTCTCTTGTCCTATGGAGAAGCTCCTAGGGTGTATGCCTTGGAGCTGTTCAATAGGAAATGTGGCTATAATCAGAATTTAATCTGATATAAAGTAATTTATTGAGGATTGGGCCAAAGCCAATTGTAACAGCTTCAATTCCACTTAGGATAAATAATAGGGCAGACGGATTCTGCAAGACAACCATAGAGCAAAAATTAACTAGTGCGCTTCCCATTCCTCATATGTGGCTAGGACCAAGGGCCTCAAATACTAGTTTTTAATTTGGTTTTAAATTATCCATCCCATGCTCATACATTCATGCTCCACATAGTCCTAGAGCAAGCGAATAAGAGGTTATATACCTACCACTATTACCTTGGTTAGCATTTTAGACATTTCTAGTATTCCCAAGAGTAAGCAATAGCTGTCTCTCATCTCTAGAAATGCTGGCTGATTTAGGAGATAAGAGAGGCTATTCCAGAGGCAATGGTGTGCATTGTCCTACAGAGTGGGAGTTCTATTGGGCTGGTTTGAGCATTGACAATCTGTAGCGGGAGGGAAGTGGGGAGGGAAATTCTCTGTGGGATGCTGACATGGGGAGATATCTTCTACAGGGCTGTAGAGAATTGTAAGAGGAAGGTAGAATTTCTACCATATCAAGATGATGTTCTATGTACAGTGGATTTGCTGCTTCTCATAGGCTACTGTACTAAACCTCTGGCAACAAGAACTTATTTGAAATTTTATATATAAGTTTCCCAGTTGGCTACTTGGCTGCTTCCCAGACCTACAAGAAGAGACCTTTTACTAATTCCAGCTTCCTGCCTCTTAATAAAATCCTGATATGCTGAATGTAGGACCTCTTTTTCTCTGGTGTTGCTGGCTCAAGAGACAGCTTCCTGCATTTTGCTAGAGGTGGCAGGCAGAAGCTGGCACTTGGAAATACTTTACATTTTTGCCAGTCCGAACTGAAATGTATTGTTCTTATGCACTATAGAAATGTATGTAATATATTTAAATCAATGCAAGTCTCTTCATAACAGATCTGCTGTTACAGAGTCAAGTCTCTTGTGTGTGTTTGTCTTCTGCAGTTAATAAGAACTGGATCTTCCCCCTTCACTAGCCTCACACCATGCAGTAGAGCTGCAACTGTGCCTTGACATAATGATTGACTTATTTACCATACAGATTATTTTAGACTACAATACCTGCATTATCAGAAAGTCCCTCCTTATTGTTCTTGTTTTATTTGTAAAGTATGATTGCAGGACCTGGTTTATGTTGGAGCTGCTACAACATGGATAAATTATTCCTGTATTTTAATCATTTATCGTTGCTTCCCGATTAGAACTGATACTTAATTATTACATGTTCTATGCTGATAGCATTGCATGTGTGTAGTGACTGAAAATCAATTTTTCAAATTCAGTATTAAATATGGAGTGGATTTACAGGATTATATTCCAGAGTTGTAGGGAAACCATTACATTTAGGCTTAGGGTGATACAAAATTGTATATTGTCTCCTGGAAACTGTGGTGCCTTATTTTTTCCTATGCTGCTGTTTAATTTGGCCTTGACACACTTCCAAATGTTGATTATTTAGTAATGTTCAGAAAAGGTTGCAGAGGTAAAGTAAGTAGTAATGTAACTTTTTGCCCATTGGAAGTCAGACCTGCCTATCAGTGCTTGAATGGCAATATGACATAATTGTTCCTTGGCAGTTGTCAATCAGATCCATGAAGTGAAAAAACAGTTAAGTGTATCATGCTGTCCTGCAGCTGCTTATAACTGGTTCATATATTACTCTAGGCCAGCACTTCTCAGACTTGAGCAAATTATCCAAAATTGGGTAAATGTAGTTTTTCTTTGGGTAATGACATAAACCTATTACCTAATCACAACAGAGACATTAAATTGACAAAGTATTTACCTACGTTGGATAAAAAGGATTCTCCGATAAACAGTTTTGGGTAATGAAAGAAAAAAAATTGGCAGGGCACTGCTCTAGGCTAAAATATGGTTGGATCCTTAGTAGTTCAAACAGGCTACAGAAACTGAATTATCTTTTTATGTGCCAGGTTGATAATAATCTGGGTTAATATATTGAGTGAAACTAATTACATACAAGGCCAAACGATTCCCTAAGACTTAGTTGGAGAAGGTAATAATTTATCAAAGTTGTGTTCTGCCTGACTCCCAATGAGTCCAAATGGCTAACAATTAAACAACTTACAGTAAAATTGATAAAAGATGGCAAGATTGACAGACAAGATTGAATGAAGCAATGGGGTCTCTCTTGCCAAAGACCTTATTTTTATATATCTTATACATATTATGAGCATATGAATATAGATGTGGATTTAATAGACTTTCTGTGGTGCTTTTTTTGCAATTGTAGAGAAAAGGTACTTGTCTTTAGAATATTTGTGTGCATTTGTGGCAGTGGGAAAGCATTTAGTTCTATCTGCAATGAATTAGGAAACATGTTCAGAACTTGCTGTACTCACTAAAACCTTTTATTTAAATAAACCTTGCCAGTTCGATGTTGTTTAAGGCAAAGGTAAGCAGCCTGCAGTTCTAAAATTGACGTAGTGCTTGGTGTATTTTCATATGGCATACTGCAGCAAATGATTCCAGACCTTTGGTAGGGCAGGTTCTTTCTCTGGCACTCTGCTGAACAAAAACTGATGAAGCTGGTGATGTGAGGGAATGTGGCCTCCTACATCATGATATCACAAAGCTGTTATGCTAAGGCTTATATGTTTTCATAGGCTAGACAAAATATACTTAATCACACAATGCATAATGACCAAATTGGTTTCTCTGAAACAATTTGTTAAAGCAGATCAGATGGAAGATAAATATAGAAGCAGTTATTAACTGAGTGTTTACATACACTACCTCTGAACAGCGGTAAGTTTGCATACGTGGAATAATGAGGAAAATAATTTTTTCTGGATTCTGATTGTAAATTTCCCAAAGATCTCTTAGGAGAAAGAAGTTCTGGACTAGAGAGACATTTGGACTCTTACATTCAGAGACGTCTTTAGACAAGAAGCTTTATTAAATATAAACCATAAATAGTCAAAATACGTAGTGTTTGTGCTTTGACATAAACTAATCAAGTCTAAATTAGCAAACCAAAGTGCTTGACAGCAAAAGAATTTTTCGATTTTTTTCTGCTGTTACCTGCAATCATTTGTCAGACATTCTCCCTTTGAGGCTTCTCCAGGCTAGTCTGATTACATTCGGCCACAACCATTGGCATAAGATCACAATCATTTTTCATTGTGTACGTAGCCACACTCATCTCTTTTTCTTTCTTCCTATATTGGGAAGCAATGTAGTGGCCACTTCCATCTGCTGTCTCTATCTCTTTCTTCCTACTGTCACCATCAACAGCAGCAGCAGCAGATGTATTACAATCTTCAATCCTGTGGGTCAACAAAAGTCTCATTAAGAATTGCCTTATACTCCCTTTTTCTTAGAAGCAGACAATCAAGATAAGGAATAGGGAGCAAAGCATTGTGATGCTGGTTTGCTAATGTAACAAAAAATTATACAGCTGCTCTTCAACTCAATATCCTCTTGCTATGTTAGCAGAAAAATACTTATATTATTCTCCAGGTGTTTTAGACATCCATAATTTGCCATGGATCATGGTGGTTAGAACTGATGGAAAATAAAATCCAAATAATCTCACAATGTCAGTTTACTGTTGATTTCAGCATGTTGTTTAGCCATGATGGATATATTCTGTGCTTTAACAACCCCTAACAATAGGAAGGGAGAAGAAAGAATTTGCCCAGGGTTGCCTATAGCAAGACCAGATGGCAACAAAATGAGAAAATTAAATGTTTCTTGTGATGTTATGATGCAAGCTCTGCCCCTTACATAATTGCATATCACTTCCAAAAGGTAGAGGTTATCTTGAAATATCATGACGCATTTTATCATTTCATCTTCTCTCCCACTGCAGTTTCCTATAACTTTGTCTCTTCTGATCTGCAGTATTCTAAATTATTCAACTACCTATTCGGCTATATGAGCTAAAATCTATTTTCCCTTTCTGAAAGCCCTATAAAAATCAATTCTACATCAATTTGGTTATATTGTAATATCTATGAATATAATTTAACATGCTTCAAGATTGGACACCTATTTAAAGAAACTCTTCCCAATACGTGCTTTTATTACTGTTTAATAACTATACAATACCAATTGTATTGGAAATATATTCCAGTTGAATGGTTCACAGTTCACAATTAAATAGTGCAGCAGCTAACTAAGGTTTTACTTTCTAAATACATGCCAAAAATCATTTTCAATTAAAAAAACCCAAGCTAAATAAATCCTTACCTTCCTTCCTAAAGAAAGATATATAGTACATTAATCAACTGTGAATAGGAATAAAAATATGTTCATACTCTTAGTTGAAAGTAACTGAAGGTGTTTCTGGGGGAGGGAATAGAGCCTACAAATTCTGCTTCTAGTACCAGCAATCTAAGTAAAATTAAAAAGCGGTATAAGAGCAAATTTCGAAATCATACCGTAAGTGACTGAAGTGCTGTAGCTCTAGCAGCCTGGTACTGCTGCCCTTTCCAGATAGAGGCCTCCCATTGGCTTGCAGCTTCAGTTTCCTCTGCCTTCTGTGGAGCTGTTGTAAGGCCCGAGTAATGCATTGGCTTTCTGCACGCTCCCAAATTAGCTGGGCTCGTTCTTCTGCTTGCATATCCCCACTGCTACGGAAGAGGCAACGTAACTGCAGTAACCCCACCCCCTGAAAAATATTGGCAGATGCTCTCTTTCTAGCACATGATTTAGCGATTTGATTCTGTGGCAAGTCACAGATAATAGAGGCTGGAGTTCCCATGGTGCTAGGATCTCTCCATATTGTAGTTAATGGTGGTTCTGTAGAAAAGATGAAACCAGGAAGAAGCAGATTAGTTAACTGGTCCTGACAGCAGTTCCTCTTTCCTATCATAACCTGGGTCTAAGTGGACACATGCATAGATGTTTAATAGCCTTAATCTGAGGCACCTATATTTTGGGACCACAGGTCAGAACTAAGTTTCCTTATAACATAGTTCATCCTAATTCCTCCCAGAAGATGATTCCTCAGAACAGAGAGGAATCATTTAAGTCATTACGTCTTAACTCTGCTCTGTGCAAGAATCCAAATTAAAATATCCACAGCAGACTCCTTTCTCTACCATTGTGGTTATTCAGGTATGCAATATTTCAAGAATGTTTATTCAGAGCTTTTCATTGCCTAAGACTTAAGGCACTGACATTCAGATATTGCAGCTTAATGTGAAAACTGTATAGTAATTCATATATAGTAGTAGATAGAATATGTATTGTCAAGTCAGGACTTGCACATTTACTCAATTAGCAGGAAATATGAGCTCCAGGTTATTCCACCTAAACTGGTATGAGTACCAGGGTGGATCCATTTGGGGTGGGAAGTTTTCTCAGTCAACCACAGGACAATTTTTCCCGTCAGCCTTTCAGGTTCTGACATGCCTTGTGTTTGACAAAGCCTAGTAACAATAGCTACAATTTCCTATGAAAACCCTACCTATCCAAATGCCCAAAAAAGTAGGTAAGAAAAGTGAGCAACACACACCATGGACCAGCAACAATTTGAACTGGGGTTGTATTGGCTAAACTGGCAGATTATGTCAATGAGCCACCTCGATTAATCCGCCAATCTGGCTGAAAGGTGGGGGGGGGAGGGAGGAGTGAGAGGGCTAATACTAATGTCTCAGGGGAGTGGGGGGTCTTTGGTGCTTTCTGAGTTTCCTGTTTTCTCATAGGCGTTTCATTACCCTAACTAGGTAACATCATCAGTGCTAGTAAGTTCCCTTACTAGCACTGATAATGTTACCTAGTTAGGGTAATGAAACGTCTGCGAGAAAACAGGCAAACTCAGAAAGCACCAAGGACCCCTCGTTTCATCCCTGAGCTACAAATATTCTCCTTTATTGGTACTAATGTCTCAGTTCTCAGGAGGGTAAAAGCGCCTCCTTTTACAACACAATACCGAACACTTATTTATACTACAATATCGGAGTTTGAGGACGCTCGTATTTAGAAGGGTCCTGAATTCCAAAGAGAGAGAGAGAGGTTTGAAATATACACTAACGGGTAGGCTCTCGGTCGAATGAGAGCCATTAACTGAATGCTCTCCGATATTCGCAACTGTCGGCTACCATTAATATTATATAAGAAGTCCTCCCTGCCAGTCATTAAATACACGGAGTAATATAGGGCAAGTCCCTCGTTTCAGAGAAGCCCACCCCACCCCACCCCACCCAATCACTTTGGATTCTTTGAAGATACGCAGCAGCAGGATGCCGCCTAACTAAAACGAATTTCAGCAGACAAAGGGGATTTGTCTGAATTATTGCTAGAAAATCTTCGGACGGCTTTTGAGCGGCCATAAGGAATCACCTCTCCCCCCCCTCCCTTTCCCCATCCCGTCCAGAATTTTAGAACGGCGATCGAGGCTGAAGCCGAGACCCTCAAGCTCTGCAGACACTCACGGACCTGGCGTCTGCCGTTCTGCTGGGGGTCGCCGGCCCCTCGAAGGCTCTCGAAGATCCGCCAGAGTTGCCCGAGCTCAGGGAAGCTTTCCCTTCCCTTCTCAAACCGACCTCCGGCCATTCATACTCGGCTCCTAAGAAGATGCGTTTGGCCAATGAAGAGAAATGACAATAAAACATCTCGGCCAATCCCCTTCCGCTGCTCTCTTCTCCAAATGCCGAAGAGAATGCTGTAAACTAGCCAATCAGTTGAGGACGAGGGAGGGACGGCGAGGTCTCGTTTGGGAACACGTGGCAGGCAGGATTGTTGACGTCAGAAGGGCGTGTTTAGCCTGCAGGGCAAAAGGACGTCGTTGTCTAGAAGTTTGCTTTCGGCGGGCTGCGTGGTTTTGTGTTCAGCTCCTGCACAGACATTCATATGCGGGCCACCATCCAATATAAATAGACGGCCTGTAACTGTATAGTGTCACAGTCGATTTTTATTTATTTATTCATTTATTAAATTTATATGCCGCCCATCCCGCTATGGAAAGCAACTTTGGACAGTGTACCATTTTTCTCCCCCACCGCTTCTCGGCTTCCTTGCGGTTGCTGTCCATTGGCTTGTGTTAAAGCCCTTCTGCTATTTTCACACAACAAGGTTACCAGCAATAGTTTATATGCTGAAGTCTGGCTAAAGCAGCACCATGATAGCTTGATTCTTCCCATACCTACAGAAGAAAATATTTGTAGCTCAGGGTTGAACTGTGGGGTCCTTCGTGCTCTCCTAGTTTGGTAATTTCCTTACAGACGTTTCATTACCCAATTAGGTAATGTTATCAGTGGTAATAAGGAGTGGGGTTTGGTCTTATTTTTATATACTAGTGGCGTGTCCTGTTAGTGTTGGTGGGAATAATCTTTTGGTTCCTTCATTAGGCTGTTTACCATTAGCTTGTTTGTCTGCATTTGTAATTCCTTCATTGGGGTATTGTTTACTTCCTGACTGTTGGTCTGGTGTTAATTTTGATGTTAATCTCTGTTTTTATGGGTGTTGTTTGCTGGTTGGGAGGTGTTTTGATGTTTTTGTTTCTTTTTTGGCTTTTTGATTGTCTCTTTTGAGTAGTATGTACATTGTTTATCTCTATGTGCCTGTTGATGATTTGTCTGAATGACAGGCTTCTAGGCGTTCCCTAGCATTTTTGGGCTATTTGACTTGATACATGTTTTATATACCCATATATACACGTGGAAAATACCAAAAGTAAGTGACTTATCTTGACAGTAAAACCTGAAAGCTCCAGTTAGAGACAGATAGTCATAGAGAAAATCTATCTATATACCGATAGTCACTAAGAGTCAGCAGAGATTTGATGGTACATATTCAGTCATGACCTATAATACACATGCAGCACATAGAATTTTTTTTGTTTGCAAGAGCATATAAAAACCAAAATTAAGTTAGAATGACACAAAGAATGACCAACAACAATTCTGAAAGATTCAGTTGTGGAGATGAACTAAAAGTAAAGTAGAACTTAAAATGCATCATAGGAGACAGCTTATGAAATTTACAGAAAAAAAGGAGTTCCATTGGATTGGAATGCATCTGGGATTCATTTTATTTATTAAACTGCTATACTACCCATCCCACCAAAGTGTATCTAGGCGACTTAGTTATTCAATAAAAATACCATATATACATTAAATCCTGCCATCTGAAATTCGTTGACCAAAATTCAAAGTTGCTATGCAGAACATTTATTTTCCACACTCAAAGGGTAACTTGCATTGGACTATAAATCCAAAATTTATTCCACTCATTGCAGTTACAATATGCCTTGGTGGACAGCTCCAAGTCCCTCATGCTCTAGCTTCTTAATTTAACACAGAGGGTGTGGTTTTAAAATGATTTATGGATGTGATTAGATCAGCTTCAATTTGAGGTTGATAAAAAGTTTTGCTTGCAGCAAAAACGGAAGGCTGAAAAGATCCTCTAGAGATTATGCTTGTTCAAAATCAAAAGTTGCCTCTCTGCAATCTAAAGAATGCAACAGAATTTAAATGCCAGAGCAACAAATGAAGAAACTATTTGTACATTTAGGTTTACATCTTTCAAGTTCTTCCTTTTAGGGAGTTTAATGAGTGACAATCACTTGGCCTTTTTCCATGCAGAAGGGAGGAACTGAACTTGATGTTTGCAGAGTCCATGTTTTCTTTAGTCAATCTTTTTGGTTTGGCAGAGCCTTGTTGGCCCAAGTAGTAACAGAACTAAGGAAACTATGATTCTAAAGAAGGCAGCATTCAGAAATTATTTTAAGTTCTTGGCTAGAGCTACAGGACCAATGGAGAGAGGGAGAGAGTTATTAGTAAGACGAAGGAGAAATGAAATGAGTTCCAAAAAAAGGAGGGGCAAGGGTGGGAAAGGGAGGGCTAGAACAGGAAATTGAGAGGCCCTAGTGCAGGAACAACTGCTAAGCTGCAGATGTTTGGCAGCTGCAGACAGAGGAAGTGCCTAAGAGGGGAGTGAGATTTGCTGGGCAGAAGAAGGCACTAGAGGAGACAGGAGCTGCGGAGGACCTAGTGATATAACATGCCTCTTCCACCACCCCCTTCCTCACCTCCACCCCCGTGTCCAGCATCTAGAGAATCTCTGAGCCTGAACAGGCCCTTCCTACGAAGCCTGTTAGGAGGGCTGCGTATAGCACAGCTGCTGTTGGGTGCTGTCTGCTGGATAACTTTAGCTGCACACAAGTATGAAGGAGCAACCTACTTTGCAGTCTTTGCAGCAGTCCTGGTGTGGCTTCTTACCTTGGTTCTTTTTGGACTCAGTTTATTGGGCCGATGGGCTCTGATTCCTGTGGTGGGGACCCGCTGGCTACTAACAAACATTCTGCATGACCTGTTGCTTGGAGTTATTTTCTTCACGGCTTCTGCAGCCATCATAGGCTACAAGGCGCGGAGCATCAGCTATTGTACCCTGCGAGGTTACAGCCAGCCCTGCAGTTATACTGCCTATTTAGTCGCTGCTATCTTTGCTGGTAAAACTGCCTTCCTGTACTTGCTCTCCGGACTCTACTGCTTGGTACGGCGTTTCCAGGGGCACCATGATATCATCTGAGAGATGCAAGAAGCTCAAGAAGTACAGACTTTATTCAAATAGATGGATAAAGCTAGCATACAATTAGCCTATAAATCCCTTGCTCCAGATGCTGTCACCTTCCTGAGGAAAACCTGATGCATATCCTATTTTTTCTGACAGTTATGAATGCTTTTACCTCCAGATGTCTGAACTTTTCATCCACAGATGGACGCATGCTGTCATGAACCAGAAGCTAAAAATGATGCATCTTAGGAGGAACACCTGGAAACCAGATTGTGGATTCATTTCTCTGTCTCTCTCTTTCTTTCTCTTGTCTTCTTTCATTTTGGCAGGAGGATTTCTATGGGTCTGGGAAGTTTTGACCTGATCTGTACTTCCAATATATCTGATTGCTGTAGGAAGGTTTCGGTATTATCACCTTCTGGTATACAATATTGGTTTTATTATTCATGCTATCCTGTTTGGACCTTAGAAATGAAATGTTCAGATTTTATACCATATGGGCTTCTTGAGAGTTTTTTGTTTGTTTGTTTGTTTTACACAGGAATATTCTGTTTTAAACAGATATTTATACATAATTATTTACTGTAAATTTAAAAACTTTTGAATACACCCGATAGTATTTGTAGCATTATTATGGTAACGTGTTTTTCAGAAAACAGAGGGTTAAAGGCTCCTCCCATTTTAACTGCACTCTCTAATTGAAAGAGCTGATTTTAATTCCAGATGTATGTTAATTAAATTAAGAAAAATAGTACATGTTGAATATGCTCAGAAATTATTTTTCTGTATGGGTACAGTACTGTTTAATATATCCCAGAACTAAGCTCTGCCTCCATGAATGAATTCCAATCTTAAGGGTTTCAATTCACAAAAGAATCCCTGAAATAAAACTTTGTCATCTTGCCCATAAATGTTGCTGTATTATTTCAATTTGATGAAATCTCAGTCCATATCCTGCATTAAAGTAGCCTTCTCTAAAATTGTTTCTTTCAGACGTTTGGGATTCTATTTACCATCTGAAGAGAATTATAGAAATATTTGTGTCCAATGTTCTTGAGAGTAGCAGATTTGGGAGGCCTTTTACAGCGAACCAATCATAAATAAGAGGTAATGTTCATCAGTGATGGGACAAAAGATAGTGAGTGGAGGCTTCACCTAGAAATGGAAAGGGTTTACTGATAATTAGCTAAAGTTACATTTCGAATTAGGGTGAATTATAAATTTTCTCTAGTTAACACCTTCTACAGTAGGCCTTAAGTTTATGCAGGATATTTTTCAAAGACAGGAAATAAAGCTTTCCAAGTTTACTCCCTGAAACCTCTGTTTTATTCAGACTTTCTAAAAATACTGAGAATTTGGAACTTAATAAAGAAGGTATCTAACTATGTAGCAAGGGATAGAGCTATTTTCCAGGTTATAACTGTGGTATAGCTCCGGTGATGAAAGTGCACTATAACTTCTGTTGTTATAATCTGGAAGGATTTGCAATTTATTTTGCATAAAACATTATACTCAGTTCAAGTTGAGGCAAATGAAAGTAGAATTTTATAGTGCCTGAGAAAGTCTGAATATAAATGTAGAAACCAGCCATAGTAGTTCAATACTTCAGAATTTGGTCAAAAGAAAGAGGGTGGGAAATCATAGTAACAAGAATCCTTATGTCAAGCTGCGTTGCGGGCTCCGTGTGTGAGGAAAAGAAACCGCCCATCCACGGGTTGCTGTAACAGTTTATTCATCAGCGCCGTCCTCCACGGGACACACAGCTAGGTTGACGGGTATGCAGGATACACAAAGTCGGCGTTGGGAGCGGCTGCCTCCCAACGCAATTTAAAGAACGCGCTAACAATGTATAACCACCGCCCTTCCGAGCACTAGTGCGCAGGCGTTGCTAGAGCGGTGTATAACAAAAAATTAACCCTTGCTCGTCCGCAATTGTGTCCGGCCGCCTACCATTACCCTAACACCCCCACCACCAGTGTCAACAGATCCCAAAGCCCCGAAGCGTCCGTCGTTGATACCCCTCCCTCGTCTGGCTCCCGTAGTTCGGCACAGTGGTCGGGCCCGCGATCCCGGGAGCGGATCGAAGTGTCGAGCGGATCTCGACAGGCGGCTCCCCCTACCAGGGACCCTCCTGGAAGACACAAATAAGTATGTTAGCATGACATCATGGTATCATGTCTCCACCGTAGGCCCGGGCTTATACGGATACCGCCGGTGGAACTGTTTGAGTAAACGGTTAGCCTCTATGTCCGGAGCGGCCACCCACGTTGCTTCCTCAACCGGATACCCTTTCCACTTGAGTAAATATTTGAGTTTCCCTCTACTGACTTTTGAATCTAGTATTTGCTCTATCTCATACTGGTTATCTCGTACCGGGCCGGGGTTCCTTATTTATGTGTACTGGCTTTAGTAGGCTGCTATGAAAGACGGGGTGGATCTTACCAAGTAATGGTGGCAATTTAAGCTCGACAGTGACTGGATTTATCACTTTTACGATAGGGAATGGTCCGAGATATTTCGGACTCAGTTTTCGGCTAGGCGTTCGTAACTTAAGATATTTTGTAGAAAGGTACACTTGGTCTCCAACCACGAATCGTTGATGGTCTGCCCTCTTCTTATCAGCTTGGTGCTTATGCATGAGCGTCGCCTTTTCTAGGGCCTCTTTTATGTGCGGCCATCCTTTCCCAATATGTACTGCCCAGGTACTGGGTGCCATCTGTTCCTGGGACTGCATGTCAAGTTCTGGAATAGCAGAGAATTCTTTCCCAGACACGGCGTGGAACGGAGTAACCCCTGTGCTTCCATGGACCGCGTTATTATAAGCTATTTCCGCAAAAGGAAGTAACTCTGACCAATCGGTTTGTTGGTATGATACATAGCAGCGCAAATAGCGTTCTATCATGGCGTTCGCTCGTTCCGCTGCTCCGTTTGTACTCGGGTGAAACCCCGAACTTAGCCCTTGTGATGAACCAATCATAGCAATAAAGTTACGCCAAAATTTCGATGTGAACTGTACACCTCTATCGGATATAATCCGGCGCGGTGCACCGTGCAAACGGTAAATATGTAACAAGAACATTTTGGACAGTTTACGGGCTGATGGTATCCCTCGACATGGTATAAAGTGGGCCTGCTTTGAGAATAGATCTATTACAGTCCATATGACAGTATACCCGTTGCTTTCTGGAAGATCAACAATGAAATCCATAGCAATCTCTTCCCATGGACGATTTGGTTCTGCTACGGATTGCAAGAGACCGAGAGGCTTTCCGGTCCGGGGTTTTGCACTTACACAAACCCTACATTCTTTCACATAGGCCTCAATATCCCGTCTCATACGGGGCCACCAGAACTGGCGCCTTACCAAATGTAACGTTTTGAGGAACCCGAAGTGCCCAGCTGTCTTATTATCGTGACAGGCTTGCAACACCTTTCGTCGAAGAACCAGGGGAACGTACAACTTGGTTCCCATCCAGGTGAGGTCATTCCTCTGTGTTAACATTGTTTTATGTTCTATTGCCCAGGTGTCCGTTGCCAGCGCGTCCTGTAGTTCTTTTTTCCAACGGACTGGCGCTACATGTGACGTCCGGCCTACCTGTTGAGGCCCTGGTATTACAGCCTGTACAATCTGTTCTCTTTTACTATTATACTGGGGGAGACGTGATAGAGCATCAGCCAAAAATTTTTCCCTCCTGGGACATATTTAAGGTCGAAATCAAAGCGCTGAAAATATTGTGCCCATCGTACCTGTTTTGGCGATAGACGTCTTGGAGCCTGGAGCGCCTCCAGGTTTTTATGGTCTGTCCATACTTCGAATTTTTTCCCGCTGCCTTCTAACAGATGCCGCCAGGTGAGCAAGGCCCACCTTACCGCAAATGCCTCCTTTTCCCATATGGCCCACCGTCTTTCTGTGAGGGTTAACTTACGGGATGTGTAAGCACAGGGGACTAATGTGGCCGAGGTGGTTCTTTGCAGCAAGACCGCCCCCACAGCCACATCACTGGCGTCTGCCTGCACGACAAACGGCAAGGCTGGATTTGGATGCTGGAGGATTGGCGCTTGTGAGAACAGAGTCTTTAATTTCTCAAAAGCGGTCTGGCATTCAGGGGACCATGTTAACGCCTGTCCTGGACATGCTTTTAAGCCTGTGTTTTTAGTGCGAAGCAGGTCCGTTAACGGGAGGGCTATCTGCGCAAAGGAAGGTATAAACTGGCGATAAAAATTGGCGAAGCCAAGAAAACTCTGTAATTGTCGTCGTGTTTTGGGTGCTTGCCAGTCCAGCACTGCGCGTACCTTTTTCGGGTCCATCTCAACCCCCTCCCCTGATATCCTATATCCCAGGTAATCCAGTCGCGTGCAATGAAAGTCGCACTTCGAGAGTTTTACAAACATCTTTGCCTGTAGGAGCTTTTTGAGTACCTGTCTCACCAGCCGTATATGCTCCTCCATTGTCTTGGTGTAGATCAAAATATCGTCCAAATACACGAGAACACCTCTATAAAGGTGGTCGTGCAGGATTTCATTAATAACCTGCATGAAAACGGCCGGTGCCCCTTGTAGGCCGAACGGCATCACCCTGAACTTATAACTACCCAAAGGACAGTTAAAAGTGGTTTTCCACTCATCGCCAGGTTTGATTCTCACGCGATAATATGCCTCTCGCAAGTCCAGTTTTGTAAACACCTTCCCCGTTGACAGAGTAGCCAATAGATCTTTCATGAGAGGCAGGGGGTATAGATGTTCAACACATCCATCCTTCTTCTCCCGAAATAGAACGGGTGCGGCCATATGGGACCTACTCGGCTGAATGAAACCTCTGGCTAAGTTTTTGTCTATATATCGCCTCAATTCTTCCAGTTCCGGTTTCGTCATCGCATACATGCGAGGCTTTGGCAGACGAACCCCTGGCTTCAGTTCAATAGCACAATCAGTTGTCCTATGGGGGGGCAACACCTCACACTCCTCTTCGTTGAAGACAGCTGCTAGGTCACTGTACTCCTCGGGGTACCCTGCCGATGGCTGTCCTCCTTCTCCTCAACCCTACTGATCGATTCTTCTGGTTCTGGCTTAGGGCCCAGACTTAACCGCAGTTTCCGGTAACCCCCTTCCCACCATATGGTGGGCCTCCATTTGTCCAACCAAGCCAGGCCGAGGATGAGGGGCTCAACCATAGTGTCAACGACTACAAAATGGATCAGTTCCCAATGGTCCCCTATTTCCAACCGGACCAACTCGGTTACCTGTGTTGCTGGCTTGCCCCCCAATAACGACCCATCCATCTGTTCAAAACGTATGGGAGTATGTAATGCCACCATCTGTAACCCAAGGTCCATGGCTACCGACTTTCGAAGGAGACATCGGGTGCAACCAGAGTCAATGAGGGCGTCCCGTTGCACCACTACTGACGTGCGTAGGTGACGTAAGACCACTGGTATTACAAAAGGCCGTATCGGACCACTCACCATAGGGTCCCCGGTAACGTCGTCCTCACTGCTGTCCGAAGGCATCGGAGTACTCCGCTGAAGCGGAGGGGGTCTCGAGGTTATTGTTGACTCCTGAGCAGACACCGATGTCGACATGGGTGTGGCGCCTTTGGACCATTCTGACGACGATCGGACCCGTTCTCGACCCTTCCCAGCGGACGATGGCGTTTTGGATGCGGTAGCCGTCACAGGCGGTATGGGACACTCAGCAGCCCGATGACCCAGCTGGTTACACCTGAAACAACGAAGCGTACCCCTCCCTACTGGGAGGAGAGAGCGAGGGGGGGGAAACCCCGGGCCCCGCGACCCCACGGGCTTCTCACTGCTGCGTCGGGTAACGGGGGGCAAACTGGTCACCCCTCGGGGCCGGAACTCCCGCAACCCAACGTCCAGGTCCACCGCGGCCTTAAACCACTCTGATATCTTCG